AGCTTTGTACATTATAACGTTGCATTACGCTAACACCTATTAATGCTAGATCTGAATTAGTGCACAGAGAAGGAAAGTAGTTCATCCTGAATGAATATCATATGAAAATAAGACTGTCCAGATGCTTGTTAAAACAGAAAGTTGATGTACCAGTTAGGAAACCATGGAATGTGGATATTAGTACATGTACATTGTCAAACCACATGAGCTTAAGATATTCACAAGGTCTTTTTTCTTTATAATAATTATTCATATATTTTTTATTATGTTTTTATTTAATTTATTTATTTTCATTCATGTTTTAAAATCCTCTCTAGATGTTATTTCTTTGTAATGATACCTTATATTTCCATATTTATGGAATTTAAAAAGGAAATAATTTATAAACTTATTTAATTAAAAGAATGTAAAAAGTGAAGGAAAAACAAACAGTGGGCAATCTCATAAATCCTGTAAAAGAACGTGAACATGGCAAAAACTCGGACCTCTTGAAACTCGGGCCTCTTGGTGGGGAAACATGTCAGTGAAAATACGACCCAACGACAACTTTTTCGATACTCAAGAGCATGCTCTGAGTACGATCAAACTTTAAATCGAGGCAGGCTACTGACAGATAAAGTTGATGTTACAGGCATTTCAACAACCTCGATTAAAGTCAGCATTTCGAAAATTCAAGGTCATTATAATGACCTTGTTAAAATATATAACCTATCATTGGGTCGTATTTTTAGCTGACGTGTTTCATACTAATTGGAGCCTTTGTATGCTAAATTTGACTACAGCATTTTCCGTCTACTTGACCAATTCTCACGGCGGGTGTGATCGGTCAACAGGGGATGCTTACTCCTCCTAGGGACCTGATCCCACCTCTAGAATTTCCGGGGGTCGTGTTTTATGTCTTTTTCGCAGATTTGTATTGTTTTAGATTTTTTGAGATCGGTCGCTGTTCGTTATTTTTACCTTTTTCATTGTATTTGCAAACAAGGTCATTATAAAGACCATAAAATTTGCGAAATGCTGACTTTAAACGACATTGTTGAAAACTCTGTAAAATCAACCCATTTTTTCAGTAACCTGCCTCTGTTAAAATTTTAACGTACTCAGAACATTCTCTTAAAATATTGAATCAGTTGAGAGACTTAAAACACCGTATGCAGGTGATGGTGGAATGTTACTATAGATATAGGGAAAATTGACAAAGGAAAAGCTGAAGTCACCAGTTTGTCACACAGTTTCGCTGTCAGTTTTGTCATTAACGTCTCTAGTCAGTAAAATATGGTAGACTCTGTGGGATATATCTAGAGGACAAAACAATAAAAATAACTTTTGTTAATTGATTAAACGTCGTCGATATACCAAAATGTTGAATTTAATGGCACAGCAAGGGTTTTCTTCTTCATGAACAAGGAGCGATACTCGTCTGTTTGCACTTCTCGGGGATTGAAATATCGGATTTCAGTTCTTATTACGTGATTGTGAGAGTCTTCAAACGAATTCTAGATCTGGTTCCGAAGTTGGTAAAATACCTGCATCTAGTTGCTACATTGTAACCAATTGTTATATGTACGACACAGTGAACTAAGAGATGCTTAACAGACATTCCTTTACTTGATTGATTGTGTGTATGTTGTTTTAAGTCCCGTTTGAGAATATTTTTTTCATATAGAGACGTCACCATGTACTGGTGAAGGGTTTCAAATTAAAACCTTTACTGGGCACTTAAGGACAGTGAGCAGTGATTTTCATCGTGGCAACGACCGCCGTGACACAGCCCCTCGGTTTTTAAGCTCTCATTTGAAAGACCCACAATTTTCACTTCAACTGCCGAGCGCTTGGCGAAGGAACAATTGCTACCTTTTTTATCGACTTAGCTCAGTCGTGATCTTCAGATAACAGAGCCACCACTCCACCGACTGAGTCACCGTGACTGTCCCTTTACTTGAAAGCAACGGTTGACATTTAGGACTCGAAGCACCTAATATAAATAAAGAAACGATTTAAAAGCATATTGTTAAGTTTAAGGGATTTCTTTGGCCCTGTTTTATTTTTCTTTGGGGTTAACGTTACATTTTTTCCCAAAGTATCAAGACAAAACTCGAAGAAAGAAAAAAGTGTTCTTAATGAAATGTGAAGATGCAGTGATCATGCTCTAAATCAGCTAAAACAATATAAAGTGAGAAGAGAACAAATACAGACCCCTAGAAACACCGGAGGAGTAAGCACCTTCCGAATGATCACAACACGGTGAGAACTATGTCCTGATCTGGTGAAAAGGGATAAATCAATAGACAAGTATAAAAACAAGGCCCAATAATTTCTTTGAAAAGTTAAGGAAACATGCGGACCCATAGACAGCTTGGTTATACTTGCAAACAATGTTATTACAACGACCGAAGACTTTGAATAATTTTAACTTGAAACGAGATTGTAGACACTCCTTTAAGATGGACTTATTTTTCAGTATCTTGCCGAGATTATCGTATCATAAATCAATGGTATGCAGGACAAGGTTTTAAATATCGAATCACTGGGAAATATAAACTTATGCAGAAGATGATATTATATTGCGATATAAAAAAAGCTGAGGACGTTCTTTGTTCACCATATTTGTTAGATTGTTCATCAGTGTCGATGCCTACTAAAAAAAAATTTGGATTTCCAACGTTTCGGCTTGAGTATCACTGAAGAGACATAATTTGTCGAAATGCACAGCTGGTGCATCAAAATTGGTACCGTATATGATTTACACTACTAAAACAACCAAATATGAAACAGATGTATCAGACTCTGTGGTGTTATTTATATTAGGAGAAGTTACCTCTGAGAAGTAAGCATTCACTGTCGACTGGTTACACCCGCCATGAGCTCTCTATGCTGATGATGTAAACGGAGCAGTCAAAATGGTTTAAAAACAATGAACTAAATATTGGTGGGAAACATTTCAATGGAAAAAAAACGACCCAACGATAGGTTGTATTTACAAAGAAGGTCGTTATAACGACTATAGAATTTACAAAGTGTTGACTGTAAACGATAATTTAGAACACCCTGAAACGTCAACTCATTTGTCTGTAGGGTGTACTGAAATATTGAGATAACGAACAATTTTCAAGCTCATTGCCCATTTACACATACAGCAGAACAGACAGGAGCAGAACAAACAAGGACCTCCAACAACATCAGAGGCGGGGTCAGATGCCATGGAGGAGTAAGCATCCCCTGTCGACAGGTCACAACCGACGTGTGCTCCTTTTCATGATCGAGTAAACGGAAAAATCCGTAGAAATGTCAGTGTGTAAATAATGGCCTAACAATTAGTATGAAAAATGTCAGTCAGCATTTGTCCTTATGATAGATTGTATTCGCTGATAAGGTAATTGTATCGACCATAGAACTTACGAAATGATGACTTCAAACGAGACTTTTAATATCCTTGTTTCATCGCCTTGTTGGTTAACAGATTGCCTCTTTTAAAAAATTATCCTACGTAGAGCATGCTCTTGCGTATCGAATCATGCTCTTGTGAATCGAATCAACTTGGAGACATAGACCCAATATGCACGTGATAAGGGTATATTGCTGCAGAAGCAAGAGAAATTGATGATTTAAAAGTAGAGGTCATCACGTTTTTTCATAACTTTTTGTCGTTAGATTACCACTAAGGTCTTTTTCTAGTAAAATATCCAAATATGAAACAGATGTGTTAGACTCATTGCTTTTTTATTTCAAGTTCCTTGAATCGACATATGAATGGAAGTAGCTATTGTTAATTGATAATACTTTGTCGATATATCTAAATGTCGACTTGAAGGCAACAGCAAGTGTTTTCTTCTCATATAGACGTTTTTGAATAAATTGTGCTTCATATGAATACAAAAATAGGTCTGCTAATATCGAGATGCAATTGGAACCCATGGGAATTTCGCCAGATTGTTGTAAGACTTGATCTTCAAAAACAACATAGATATTGTCAATCAGAAACTCAAGCATCTTTTTAATATCAACTTCAGAGTACTTGTGTGTACAATCAGAATGTTTTTTAACAAAATAATTTTGCAAATGATCAGTGACAAGGTAAGTATACCGGTATTTACGAGTTCCATTTTTATTGGAAAAACAGCTGTCTATGATGTCAAAAAGCCTGGACTTTAATTTATTGTGGGGAATGGTTGTATATAAAGAGTTAGAAAGTCGTTTTGATGTTATTGATTTTGGTAAATATTGGTAAATTGATTGTGTGATTTCAATTTGTTTTAAAGTTCCTTGGAGTTTTTTTTAAAAGTATCCACATCTGATTTACACCACTTATGGAATATACTGTTGTACAGTACTCCTGAAGTTTCTCCTTCACTGTTGTAAATATTTCAGTGATGAGCAAAAAAAAAAAGAGACTTGGTAGAACATTTACTTGATCCCGCTATGTATCTTTGTATGGATTTTTATGGAATTTCTGTTTAACCCTCTGGCTGCGGGAAGGACATATATGTCCTTTTACCGCTGGCTGCGGCAGGGACATATATGTCCCTGACGACGTCATGAATTTGTAGTTTTGAAAGCTGTTTCTTTATTCAGTAAATTGTATATCAACTGTATTTTTTATATTAAAAAATAGATTTTTGAAGCATTAGCTTTAATATTAACTAAATATAAAATATATATGTCCATATAAATATATATATTAACATTATTTATTTATGCATGCATTTTTTTTTATAATGGAAAAAGGAAATCCTTCGCCAGTCGAAATTATTTTAATCTAGCGCATACCTGTGAAACTAAAATGACGGTAACAAAATAATAATGGTAAAAAAGAGTCTTAGTTATTCTATTTACATGTTTGAAATCTTTAATTTGCAAATAAATCGTTACATGGAAATATTCACCCCCCCCCCCTTTCAAAAAAGAAAATAGCCTAACATTTCAGTAACACAGTTTCCCGTAAATTTTGCAAAAATTACGTCATTGTTTAATTATTATGTAATTTTTCCAACATTGGGAAAATGGATTCTGCTTCCGAAAATGACTCTGATTTTGAGTTTGAATCCGAATCAGACAGCGAAGATGATGTTCCCCAGCCATCAAACAGAATATGGACAAATGTAGGGTATGTGCACGATTTTGAATATCCTCATGCTATCAGGCCGTTTTCGAGACATATGGGCCCTGTTAATCCACCTGATGTTGAAGCTCCACCTGTTGAATATTTTAACAAACTTTCTGTTCCTGATGTTGGTAGAAGTCTTATAGACATTCTGGTCCAGGAAACAAATCGCTATGCAGGACAGGTTCTTTCCTCGCAGCGTGATCCCAAACCTTATTCAAGGAACCATAAATGGTCAGATACTAATCATAGTGAAATGTCAGCTTATTTGGGGTTGTATTTGTCGATGGGAATACTAAAAAAACCAAGCATTGAGTCTTACTGGCAGGAATCGCCCTGGCTTTTTAGGTCACCAGCTTATCCAGAGGTTATGACCAGAGACAGGTTTCAGATTATTTCCAAATTTCTCCATTGCAATGATAATGCAACATATGTCCCACGCGGGACCCCTGGGTATGACCCAGCGCACAAGTTTCGACCAGTACTGGACCTTATTAATAGTACATTTCCAAAAGCATACGACTTGGCAAGAGATCTTACTATTGATGAAAGTATGGTTGGATTTAAGGTACTAGTATTTTTTTTTGCATGTAAACACTCGTATTACCTGAATTTTTTTTATAGATATCCAACTGACCTTATATAGTATAAATGTATTTATATGTATTTTTAAAAAATCTACATTAAATGGAAAGTTAAAACGTATTTAACTTAATATGAGAATTAGTTGATTCACAAGCACATGTACGCTCAAATAAACTGTCTAAGCTACGACGAGTACATGCATTTTTCTTTTAAATACTTTTTAAAAATAATTTTCGAATTTAAAGAGATAAATTTTGCAATGAAATAAGAAAAATATAAACTTTAGGCCTACATAATTCTTCTCATTTGTATGTACACTAAGAAAATAATGTTCATTTCTATACTGTATTACTCATAAAATATACACTGTTAAAAATCGCATACTTATATCCTCGTTTTATTTACTTAATTATATGTCTAATGTTTTTCGTAAATCATATTTTAATTCCTTAAAGGGTCGCAATGACATAGTGCAGTATGTTCCTGCCAAAAAGTCACATCAGTGGGGAGCGAAACTGTTTGTTTTAGCGGAGTCTGACACTGGATACAATGCGGCTGTTCAATTATATGCAGGTCCTTATCTGTCTTTACAATTAAAATTAAGAAAATTATAATTAATAAGTATGGAGCACCAAATGATATGTTTTTAAAAATTGAAGATATCTTTAATTATCTAAAAAAAAAAATTCATACAATTTATGTACGTTACAATTCAATTAAATTAAGCTCATCAAATAATTAACGAAATAATATCTTCCGAATTATGACACGAATAAATTCAATTCATGCTGTAATTTATTAATTTATTAGTCGCCCGCGTGGCGCAGTGGTTAGAGCGTCTGCTCTAGAGTCGCGGCGTAAGGAGTTGATCCTTACGTCGCGGGTTCGAATCCCACTGTGGGACGTGGAGACCGGTCCTTCGGATGAGACCGTATAAACCGAGGTCCCGTGTCGCAGTAGGTGCTGGCACGAAAAAGACCCCTCACTGCTCAATGGCCGTAACTGCCGAGTATAGGACAAAATTTGCAGCTCTCCACCGGCAAGTGGTGGCGTCTCCATATGAGTGAAAAATTCTCGAGAGGGACGTTAAACAACAAACAAACAAACAAATTAATTTATTGAGTTGCTTTGATGCGCAGAGAAGTTGAATGGTTGATCTTTTCCAATTAACTTTTCCTTTTTTATTTCAAAAACTGAATTGATACACGCAAAAAAAAAAAATAATAAAAATAAAAAAATAAATAAATAAAAAAATAAGAGAACATTGCTTCAATAAAATTTACCATCAAAAATATTGTTTTGCGCAATTACTCCTCTTTATACAATTCGTTATAATATGAATAAGTATATCTTCATTTATTAGTCTTCTTTTAAATTGGCCATCCATAGATAAAAGACCCCAAAATACATATTTTTGTTTGGTTAATTGTATAAACAGGTAGACAACAGGATGACCCTCGCAGTGTTCATGGTGTAGGGTATGTTATCATGCAGTTAATTCAGCCGTATCTGTACCGACATCATCATGTTGTGTGCGATAATTATTTTACAAGTGCAGCTCTTTGTGATGTACTTTTTGAATCAGATACCTACATGACTGGCACTGTAAGGGTTTGCAGGAAGGGTATGCCACGTTCACTGCGCGGGCTGAAATTACAACGAGGGGAGTCGGTAGTGAAACAGAGTGGCCCCATTATGACACTGTGTTACGGAGATCGGAAAACAGTGACATTTATGTCTACACTTTCAAAACCTAAGTAAAACATTTTTCCTCGAATCCAAAATACTTTAACACTTATTTTAAATTTAAATTCATTGTCATGATTTGGTGAAAAAGTCTAGTAAATCAAATAGTAGAATTTAAAACTAGACCTTTATAAGTTTGGATATGCATTGAATTTCTTTTTCTCAATACACCTGGCCCATTCTCTCATACAATAAAACATTGTTCGTGTATACTTTAACTTCACAGCATTATTTCCACACAAAATGCTAGAGGTGTAGAAGTTGATGTTCCTGAGGTCAATCTTGTTTACAACAAGGAGATGGGCGGTGTCGACTTGTCGGATAAATCGCTGGAATTGTATGACCCTGACGTCAGATCCAACAAAATGTGGAAGAAAATCCTCATTAATTTTCTTCTGAGAATTTTATGTATGTCAAAGATTGACTCAGTTGAATATGTTTATCAAATTTTGCTTCTGACACGAAATGGGAACATATTTCTATCTGAATTTCACATCGGTCTTGTACATAAATATTTAATTACAGAATGAATTTGATTAAAATTACCAATGATATTTTAAAACGTTTTTCAAAAGTGCTCACATACCCAGAATTATATTTGATTAAACATCTTTTTAGCCAATGCCTATATCATTTATCGGCAAAACAGGGGACTGCGCATCAAAATGAGCCGGATAGATTTTTACATGATGGTATGTATGGGCCTTATTGGGGATTTCAGCCAGGAGAAACGTCAGACCGGAAGGTCAAGTCTCTGCCCTTTGGCCAGATTGAGAGAGAGACATTTCATTGAACAAATGGATGGTAGATCTTTTACTTATTTTGGCATTATTATAATCAGATCAGAAATCAAAGGGATCAATGGACATGCATTGAAAGTAAATATTAATGCTAATTTGACTGAATATTTATACACCTGCTAGAATGAATTTCAATAACAATTTCTAATTTATTATATACAACTTGGGGGGGGGGGTTCTTGGAGAAATTTAACTTTGCTTTTTATTCAATTTAGGAGGGAAGAGAAAAATCTGCTTAGGCTGCAAAAGCAAAGTTAGAACATGGTGCGCTTCCTGTAAAGCTGGACTTTGTCTGAAATGTTTTAAAAGACACCACACCGTGAGGAATTTAAATGGAGATGAAGAATAAAATAAGAAATAAAAATATTCTGTGGAGCTATACAATATTTCTAATTTATTATTCAACTAGTGCTAAACAAATTATCGACACTTATTAAAATTATTAAGTCAATTTGAATTCGTGTCCGATTTTGATAAAGAATTAATTTTCACTTAATCAATATTACAGGTATTTATCGAAAATAAAAGAACAATGCTTATAAATTTATTTATTCAAAATATATATGGAGAGAGCGAACACTGAAATAAATTTTGTTGACGTGAAAAATGAATAAATTTCCATGTACGCTTTCCTGTATAAGACGCGCACTTAGCGTAAACCAGAAAAATCGAAAATCGCGCAAAATAATATCAAAGAAATTGTGACGTCGTTTTAATCTCGCAGTGACGTTATATTTTCTGTACACTGACGTCGCAGCCAGAGGGTTAAATATTGATCGTCTTCAGAACATGTTGTTAAGTAAGAATTAGTTGAGATACGTAAAACATCATATGCATTTGATTGTGGAATATTACTACAGAGATAGGGAAATTTGACAATGCAAAAGCTGAAGTTCTCCCGTTTGCCATAAAGTGAAGTTATTAGTTTTCAATTAACGCATATATACAGCAAAATATCCAAGTATGAAGTATATATTGCAGGATCTTTGGTGTCTGTTATTTCAAGTTCACTGGGATAGATAGAGACGACAAAAAGCGAATTTATTGTATGAAAATTGTGGCGAAATCATATATTTAGTTTTTTCGGGTGATTTTGGTAAAAATTTGCTAAACGTTCCTTAGAGTTTTTGAATAAAAATATTTGATTAGCATCATTCCTCAAATATGTTGTAGCATAGTTATTTTTGACATTCCCCGTCACTGCTTAAAACTTTCGTGAGGAGCTAATATGGAGGCTAGGTACAATATTCACCTGATTCGCTATGTACCTAAATAATGCTCAAAAGTCTATAAATATTGAATAAATACTGTTGTTTGAAGTTTATAATCAAGAAAAGGGGATTTTGAAACATAGAAAGACAACTACTCCCCTCCCCACCCTCAGCAAAATCAAATCTATGGCTATGTTATCCTCTAATTCGAAGTAATGCATGCTAATTTATGTGTAAATTGAGAATGACGTTTCATCTCGAATGTCCAGTATGTCAAGAAATCGGTGAAAGTTAATAAATTGAAATCTTTCAGAGGACACCCCATTAATTTATAATTTATTTGTCTCTCAAGAAACACCAAAATTGGTAATGACAGAGATCTTTATCGAGGAGTTGTTGGAGAGAAAAAAAATGAAACATATCAAAAGCAGTTGACTGTCACTATAATCAGTGCAGTATCTCAATTGGACTTTTTTCAAAGAAAAATTTACATATATTTACTTTTCAAGTAGACCTGATTCCGCATTATGCTTTAAAAAAAGCGATGAATTTAAAAAAAAACCCACTTTGGTCATAATTTACTGTTGATATATATATATTTATTTACATTTGCAAATATTTTTCTTAGATGAACCTATAGAAGAGAAAATATGTTCAATTCTGTATGAACTTATTAGGGGGTCAGAGGTCATGGCGTGACCGAATCACACAGCGAAACGATATCTTGTCTACATATTTCTGTCACAGTGACACTGGTTTCGGAACTTCTGAACCGTCAAAGCGATGAAAAAGATAAAATTATTGAAACATATATTTTTTTTTTCGTTCAACAAATGATCGTTAGATCTTTCTTCGGTGTGAAGAATGTTTCTAATTAGCCTAAAATCACGCTTACCTTTTTAACCCGAAATTCCTTTGAAGGTATGTAAACTGAAGACGATAGCACCGCTTTTGACTTTATATATAAAGAACTCGTACAATAATAGTAAGATAATTCCCAGTAGCGATCATTGTTTTTTCATTATGAACAGATATTTCCTGAACTGGACTGCTAAACATCAATGTAAGTATTCAAATGTTGGAGCGAGGCGAACTCTCAAGACCAAACAACTTCTAGGTCATTGCGCGTCACAACATAGCAATACGGCGGGCCGTTCGTGTAATAAATGCAGTTCTATTCAGAATATTCGTCTCAAATGTAAATAAAAGTAATAAACAACAATGTTAAAAAGTTCACTGGGAAATGAACTTGGTTGGTACGTGATCAAATCTTCTGAGAAGCCCTTCGGGCTTCACAGGATTTGATCACGTGACCAACCAAGTTCATTTCCCAGAGAACTTTTTAACATTGTTGTTTATTTCTTAAATATATATATATATATATATATATATATATATATATATATATATATATATATATATATATATATATATATATATATATATATATATATGAAAATTAAAAATAACAAGGCAACAATGTTAGTAAAACGTAAGCGCTTTCATTATACTTCTTCAGACGTTTTACAATTCAAAACAATTCAAACATGTGACGTTATAACGCTACCTGATGATAACGTCAACAACAATGCAATGACGTCACAATGCTTATAGAGGAAACAATTATAGAGTCTAAGTAAAATTACTTTGTTCATTAATAGCGTAATAAATAATAAAGTCATGAAACAGTCTATATTAAACTATTTAAGGACGGTTTAAAAATCTTGATGAAATGTTTTTCTTTTTCCCGTCTTTCTAAAAGATTTTCTGTTTTGAGTTTATAAAAGGGATAAACTGAGAATTGTCCCTGTCCACAAACAGCAAGATGTTCACTGAGTTTTATTTTTCTGTACTCGGGTTGGTTGATATGTTGTCTATGTATGCGTATACGAGTGCGTAGTGTGGTCCCCGTTTCTCCTATGTATAATTGTCCGCATCCAGTGCATGTTATACAATAAATAACGTTTTTAGATGCACAGGTCATATCTGCATTGACAGTAAATTCTTTATTTCCGAGTGTAAAAGTACTTCCCTCTTTAATATACTGGCAGGTTCCACAACGTGAATCAGAGCATTTATTGACCACATACAAATTCCGTTGGTGAAATGTAGATTTACACAATATTCTTCGGAGGTTTTTAGGTTGTCTTTTACTGTTGATGAATTTATATTTTTCCAGTACTTTGGACATTTTCTCATCCGTCTGTAGAATGTTGTTGAGGTGACGCACTGTAGAGGTTATATTCCTGTTCTTTGGATTGTATGTAGTTACAAGCGGTAATATTGCAGAATCTGATGTGTCACTTTTTGAAGAATTAATAAGTTTATCTCTGTCGATTTCTATAGCCTTTCTGATTCCGTCCTCAATGATTCCAAGAGGATAGCATTGTTCAAGCAGATATTTTTTTAATTCATTCAGACGTTCATCTCTTTTTTTCTTGTCGCTAACAATAGTGCAGATTCTTCTAGCTAAATTGTAAGGGATTGAACGTTTCGTATGACTTGGATGACAGGAACTGAAATGGAGATATTGATGTGTGTCTGTCGGTTTGTAGTATATGTCTGTCGAAATACATTCTCCATGCTTTGCTATAAGGACGTCCAAAAACGGAATGCTTTGTAAACTTTCGTCCATTGTGAAGTTGATGTCAGGATCTAGATCGTTTATAATATTTAGGTAAACTGCTAGATTCGCATCGCTGTCATTCCAAATGATAAAACAATCGTCAAGGTATCTTTTCCAATTGTTCTTTATATTTTCTGAAGTCTGTTGGTCAAAGTACTGAGTAGTTTTTTCATACATCCTCTCCTCTAGATATCCTAGTGTAAGGGTGGCATAAGTAGGGGCCATCTTTGTACCCATTGCCGTTCCTTTCTTTTGTGCATAATGTTTGTCGTTAAAAGAGAAAGTATTATTTTCCAATACTATTTTACTAGCCTCTAAGATGAAGTCTTTGCTGAAACGCTCATTAATTTTTTGTGGATATTTATCAATCCAGTACTCGAGCGCCTTGACACCAAGAGAAGTAGTAATATTAGTGTACAAATTAGTAACATCCATTGTGACTAGCTTGGCATCATGACTAACTTTTTCAGGAAGATGTTTCAGGAAATCTAGATCATCCCGAACATAACTTTTTACTTCTAAACATAAAGGTTTCAGTAATATGTCCATAAGATGACTCAGCCTTTGTGTTGGAGCTTTTGGTCCACCCACGATAGGTCTATATGTAAGATCCTCTGGATCGCTACATGTAATGTATGCAGAGTTTTGTATTTTGATCGCTTCCTTAATTATTTTAGATTTGTGTATCTTAGGAAGTCCATAAAAGGCACTTTCTCTAAAATCAAAATTAGTCAAAAAGTCCTCTTCTTTGGCTGTTAAAAAGGAAGTTGTATTGTGGTTTTTTATTAAGTTTTTAATTTTTCGCATTGTCTTTTTATCACTGTTCTCTGATATTTCATCGTAAAACTCGCTGTTATTGAGCATTTGTAATATTTTTGTTTTGTAAAATTCTGCGTTCATAACTACTACTGCTCCACCCTTGTCTGCTTCTTTGATTACGATTGAACTGTATATATATATATATATTTCAAGTTTCAAGTTTTTATTTAAGACAAAGACCCCAACTGGGGTATATGAATACAAAAGATACAACAAAATAGCATACAAGCATGGAATGAGTGGCACTAATGTTATTTTTTTTTTCCCAGTTTATTGCATTTTTAAAGGTTTCTTTTTACAAAAAAGAACATTGAGAGAGAGAGGGGGAGAGAGAGAAAGAGAGGGAGAGAGAGAGGATTATGAAAATAAGTCTTTCAAAAGTCTCCAGCTGTCATCAAAAGATTCTCTTTCATTATTTTTATAAGATATATATTTTTGTAATTCATACATTGTCTTAATAGAGGATATCAACCCACCTAAGGAAATATTTCTGTTAGTACATTTGTACAGATAAATGTAATATTTGATTTGTAGAGCAATAATATTTTTAAGCTTGTCAGTTTTCTTCAAAGAGCCTAGTAAAATTCCTTTTTTAAGAAAGTTATAGTAGAGTGGATTCTATCAAAACAATACTTTGCAAACTTCTCTAAAAGAGCCCGAACATGTTCACATTCCCACAACAAGTGTTCAATTGTTTCAGTTTCTGTTTTACAAAGAGTACATATATTACTGTCAATTTTATTAATTTTATGCAGGAAGTAATTCGTTGCTAGTATTTTATGATTTATTCTAAATTGGAACCACTGAAGTTTTGTGCTTTTTGTAATTTTGAATGGGAGTAAAAAAATTCTCCCATTCACCATTGCTCAAGTCAAAGACTCTATTCCACGAGGTTTTACCCAAAGGTTCAATTATTTGTCTAATTAATATTTCATAAAAATCATGCGATTTTTTGGCGTTCAGCAGAGAATTAACATTCTCTGGATTATATGGATAAGTTACCTTTAATACATTTTTATTAGGATCTCTGTTTATCTTTCTCAGCCATTTTAATAGTGCTGCTTTAATGCCATTATATTCAAGAAAATGTGTTTTTATCCCATATTTCGCGTGCAGGTCATTCAAACTCATAAATGACCTATCTTCATAAAGTATATCACTAATACATGAAATATTACATGAAAACCATCTTCTATAGAAAAATGGCTTTTTATTAATAATTAAATTTTTGTTTAGAAATAATGGTTCTAAAGAAAGAAGTGTGTCATTTTGTAAGGATTTGTCACAAAAGCTTAACCATGCTTGCAACACATCCCTCCAAAATATATTTTTTAAATCATTCTTTTTTTTTTTGACAGCATATTCTTGCCCACAGTATATAACTTTTTTAATGTCAACATCTAAAAAAGAATCCAACCCATTGTCCTGTAGTAACAATTTTTTCATCCATACTAGTTTTAAGGACATAATGAACTTTCTTACACTGATCATCTTGAAGCCCCCTCCTTATAATTCATTATACAAATTTTCCTTTTCAGTCTTGAATTATTACTACCCATTACAAATGTATAGAAAATCTTTTCTAATTCTTTTATTTGTATTTCAGAGGGACTTGGGAGAGACGCAAAAATATGATTTAAGGTCGGCAGTAAAAGGGTTTTTAAAACTGTCAAACGACCAAGAGGAGTTAAATTTCTCTTATTCCAGTGTTACCAATTTTAGATGCATAATTAAGCATAAATATATTTTGAAGATTTGTATCAAATTCAATGCCTAATAATTTAAAAGTTGTTTTTCCCCACTCTAACATATTATCTGTACATAGAGTATCATTGCTACCTTTTTTGACCCAATCCAAACTACTTGAGTTTTACTATAATTTATATGCAAACCTGACATGTCCGCAAATTTTTTAAGAGTAGTGAGACTAGATTGAAGTGATTTTTCACTTCCATCTAATATTAGAGAAGTATCATCTGCCAACATAGTTAACTTTTTTCAGTATTCATAAACTGAATTCCTTCTATATCTTTATTGTTTCTTATGCTGATTGCAAGGATTTCTGCACAAATGAGGAATAAATATGGAGACAAAGGGTCTCCTTGACGGCAGCCTCTATGTAAGTTAAAAGACTGTGATAGATTTCCTCCTTGATTAACAGCAGCTGTAATATTTGTGTAAAAAATATCAACCCATTTTCTAATAGAATTACTAAAATTAAAAAAATTCAGAGATTTCTGTATAAAAACCAAGACAAGGAATCAAAAGCTTTTTCAAAATCTACCAGGAGTAAAAGTCCTGGTATATGTTCTTCCTCTGTAAATTGCATGATATCATATATATAAAAAAAACCCACTTTGATCATAATTTTGGTAATTACTGTTGATATTAACATCTCATTTTATATGGAAAATTACATTAAGCATTCATATTTATTAAGTATGACATTTTTGAAAACTTTGTCTCGCTTTATTTGTCGATCCGATATAAAAATGATAAATTATTTACAGGAGCAAAGATTTCATGAACATCAAACGTCACATCCCTTCGCTATTAGATGAAACCCGACCTTATGTGGCTATGGCTTTCAAACTATTGTCTTACTCACTTATTCATGTCTTTGAGATTTCCTCTAACAAAAAAAATTAAATGTTAGAGGGAGCTTGTTGAACAAAGGAGAATGCTTTGAAGTGTGATTTAAGCGTTCTTTTCTTAATCAAGCGCTGGTTTCATGAATCTGTAAGACTGTGACATGAAGAATTTTATGATACTCAATTGTCATCAATATTTTTTAAACAGACGATTAATTAATGTAGCAATTCCTTTCACAAGCAGATGGTTCATTAGAAACTTTTCATTATATTCATGTTTCTTCTTTTTTAATCGAATTTAATTTAAAGTTTAAAAGCTGTAATTGAGAAAGAAAACAATTTATTTTACTATGAGCAAAAAATGTTATTAATGCAACAAAAAGGAATAATTTTACAGAAAAAAATAAATGGTGTCTGAATAAATTTTCAATTAAATTTCTTTCAGAATTTGCAAGGTTTTTTTAATCGTCATTGTCACATGTAAAGAGACACTGTTGGTTTCTGTCATCAAAGCATGTGGTGTCTGGACAGTTTCGGACTTTGGGTGCCTCTCTTGTACACGTGATGTATTTTTCTTTGTTGTATGGATGACGAATGCCTTTATTAAGTGGAACAGTTGCACAAATCTCGGCTATAGAAAGAGAAAATAAAATCTGCCACACATGTAAAATAATTGACATTTACATTTCAATAATGTTCTGATGAAAAGTCTAAGAAGAAAATATATTTAGAAATGAATAATTCAAACAAATAAAAACATTTTTACATAATACCTTATCTGCTTTACTAAAAAGCTTTTGTTTCTATTTCAAGCTTTAAAAAGCTATCATGTAGACCAACTCACGTGATAACAGATAGACATTTGTTTCATCGAACAGTTCGGATCCTTTGGCTTTACATCTTATCTTTGCCCTGTTCCACTCCATGTTCATAAAATAAGTGGCATTAACAGTTTGTTTTCGGACACATCCAATGTCAACGTTTTTTCTTGTAGCGCTGTAAAATGTAAAATCATGGAAGGCTGTCTCGTTTTGAAGTTTAACCTGGAATTGTAGGTCACCATCCGGGTATCCGGGGTATCCTGTGCAGTTAAATGCGATATTAGCTTCCCCATACAACTCTTCAATCTTTGAAATAACAGGCTTTCCACGCGCTGGATCTGTAATATTAAAAAAAAAAAAATCTTTAGAAATATTATATTTTATCCCTTCTCTTTCATATATTCTCCTCATACTTACAAAAAAATTTCACATATTTTTCAAATAACATTTTTTAAACAGAAAAAAGTCTCACTTGTAACAATTATTTTTGCATCCTGATTTTGACCATTGTCTAAAACACATTTGTACACGCCTTCGTCTCTACAGCGCAAGCGCGTAAACTGTAATGACACTTCCGCTGGTTGCTGTGCATTTCCTGGTGTGTAAATCACCTGAATATTTCTTTTATTGAAAACTGAGTTGATACTACCATCAGGAGTAACTCTAACCACTGATCTGTTTCTTATGTCACTCCGAATGATATCAAGACGCTTCCAGTCTTGGTAATTAAATACAGAACACGTCACAGCTGTTACATTAGCTGAGCCAATCTCTCCTCGATGACCGTCAACAAACAGACCTTGAAAAATATTCCAAAACATTGATTAAGTTGTACATATGTTTCCTTGTCGGCGAAATGAAATATTTCAATTACTTTTTACTTTTTATTTGTTTCATATGCTTTTATCATAAATTTAAATGAAGAGAGATTTTATGTTTATATTGCATCTTGAAATCTTCAATATACAAACGACAGATCTGCTTCTTGAAGTGGACCTTACCACTCTCACAGATTTTTCCGAACCACGGCTGAGGACAGTCACAGGTGAAGGATCCAATCAAATTAGTACATCTCCCTCCGTTAATACAAGGATTCAGTAAACATTCATCAACGTCTGAAAGACAAATCTAAGTATCACCCTTTGTGTTTATTTAAGCAGAAAACGGGTATTGTTTAATGGTTCCAAAACATCAAACAAATAGAATGATGTTGGCTCTTTTGAGAGGAGTCATATGTTTGTCCAGACAATATTTTTAGATGGAAATGCAGTGATGAAGACAATATGAGAACTCAAGAGGATAATTAGACAGAAATACAATGTACCTTGTTCGCAGTATGTCCCTGTCCATCCATCGGAACAAGTGCAGGAATATGCCCCTGGTTGATTTTCACAAGTGCCCCCGTTTTGACAAGGTGAAAATAAGCATTCGTCAATATCTTCAATGATAGAAAATTTCTCATTTTTAGCGAATAATTTTCATGCAGTTGTTTGATTAAGGTACTTCTGTACAAATATTGCCAATTCATATTTTCAAACTGATTATTATTCGTTATATCTACCTGTATTGCATTGTTTTCCTGTCCATCCCGGCGAGCAGGCGCACGTGTAGGACGCAATAGTGTTGGTACATTGCCCTCCATTGGCACAGGGATTCGCCAAACATTCATCTACATCTGTCAATGATGCAAAAAATGTAGAAAATAAAACACAAATTATGTGTCATCAGATAGCTTTCAAAAACACAAACATTAACAAAATAGTAATCTGAAAGAAATGAATAAATGTATATATTGATTAGTTCAATGTATTTTTTTGTTGCTGTTGTTTTTGAAAGTAACACCGTTATTGTACACATTGGAAGGAAAGAAAAAATTAAATTCTATGTTTTTAGCTTCAAGCAGAGGTACCTGTATCACAGAGTGGTCCTTGCCAGCCCGCTGTACAATTACACATGTAGGCACCCGGTAAGTTATAGCACGATCCTCCGTGAAGACAAGGGGACGATAAACACTCATCTTCATCTGAAATTATTCAAATTGAGTATTCCTGACATCAAAATGATAAAGAAAGATGGCTATGGTTAATGTTTTAAATTTTTCTTCTTTTTATCAGCCATGTGTGTCATCTGTTGCAGACTAAATATAAATATATAGAATGAAAAGAACACATACCCATCTCGCATAAAGATCCACTCCAGCCGCTAGAACACTGACAGGAAAGAACGCCATTGATAATCCAACACGAGGCTTTATTTCTACATAAGTTTACTTGACATTCTGCAAGTGCAAGAAAAATATATCTACATGAAACAACCATATCACTACAAACAAACTTTTATGATATTTAAAGAATGATGCATGTATTTAGATTGCCCTTTCTCTTACCTTTAACACAAGATCCACACTGTTGTTCATTTTCGTGGAAACACGTGTCGACATCACATTCCATAACTGCTCTAGGTAGTTGGTTGAGGCACTGTACATATTTCTTCGGATCATGCGGATGTTCCAGAAATGTTTCTGTTACAATGGATGCTCTTTCGCAAAAATTGTCTGTGATGAAAGTTAACACACAAAAAATATTATTATTAAGGAGTATTTATCAAACGAATGATACATAGTACAAGTTCCAGAATTCAGATAACATCGTATTCATTTTTTTTTCTATTTTGGTACCAATATGACAAACGCGTTTAAACAACAGTATGAAATATGTATGAAATGTCATGTAACTAAACAAATATTCTTAAAAACCTGGAAGCACATTTATCACTGTTTCATCAAAATTCCCAGACTCTTCCTCAACACATCGAATCGTAGCTTGGTCCCATTCTTGGCCAAAATTGTAGTCAACATACATAGTTTGTGTACGTGAGCAGTCTGCAGAGAGGTCGTCTTGAACTTGCACTGGAAATTGAAAGTCTTTGAAAACAGCTTCATTTTGCATTTTAACTTGGAACTTAAGACTTCCATAAGGGTAGGAGGGGTGTCCTTGACATTGAACATTTATGGCTCTACGATTCTTCAAAACTCCTTCTGTCTTTGAAATCCTGGTTGGTTCTCCAGACGGGGGTTCTGTAACATTAGAGTTATTTGTGAGTAGTATTTATTACATTGTGAAATATATTCTTTTTAAATAAAATACTGAGTACCTTAATGCAAGTTTTCAAAATAATCAATTACTTAAGAAGTTTTAGTTTTTCGATAATCCTAAGAAAGTTTTCAAATCCTGCTGTGATGAATAAAACCCCTTACTTGTCACAACGAGGTTCATAGTATTTTTAGAATTTCCATCTACAGTACACTGATATTTTCCATCATCTTCACATCGTAGATTCTGGAAGGTCAGGGACACATCCGCTCCATTACCCACGACACTACTGTTGATTTTGACCCCACCACCGGTAAAGTCAGTAAAAATACCGTCTGGATTGACCTGATATAAGGTCCTGTTTCCATGTTTCACTTCGATTGAATTCCACTTCTCCAAGCGTTGGACACCACAGCTGATAGTAACACTAGAACCATACTCTCCTTCAGCTCCCATCAAAAACATTCCTTATAATCAAAATAGAGGCTCTATAATTTAGCATATTGTTTAATTTTGATAATGTAGGTGTAAAATGTATCCTTAATTTTCAAAACGTGGCCGGATCTACGTAAATGCGCTTTTAATGTCGCCTGCTAAGCAGATGGACCCGAAGAATCGCTTCCCTATTATATGAATGTATGTCAGTCACACACACAAACTATCTTTCAAACCATTAGTAAGATAAGTGAATATGTAGGAAGTGTATTGCTTGTTAAATCTCTAAATCTCGAAGAGAATTATTGACTTTTTATGATTATGCTGATAATATTAATAAGTATATATCTGTACTGAAAGACAACTATGGAGTCTCGATGATTTGCAAATGACTTGCTTGTCAAAGGCCTTTCAGCAAATCTGGCAGATTTGAATCAGAGAATTTTGAAGTTTGATACATATTGCGAATTTTTAATGGCTTATTATCTTCCATAACATTAAATCTCCTACTTTGAAATCTGACATGTGTCTTACATCCTATATTGTTTAACACAATGTCTCTAAAAATATTTCAGAGGATTTTATATATTTAGATCTTGTACCTATTATCTTCTCCTCCCCCCCCCCCAAGAACCACTTTGCTTCAGTCTAATTCTGAAATATCCTTTAGAATTTGATTCTTTTTCTGAAGTTCTACTCACTCGCTGTGCAGTCTTGTCCAACCCAAGATTGAGGACAGTCACACTGGTAGGATCCCTTTAAATTTTGGCAAGCTCCTCCATTAGAACAGGGATTCTGAACACATTCATCCACGTCTGAAAAAAGTTTTTTTTTTTTTGGTATCTGAATCACAACTTCTTGTAAAAAAAAAATATAAGACTGATAATTTTTCCATTAAAGTTGACATATCATTATATACATTCGAATAAAAGTCCAAACGTATTTTTTCATTTTTTTTTTTTTTGTTCAATGGAATAATATATTCTTTACCTTCATCACACTGATTCCCCTGCCATCCTGAGTCACATTTACACACAAAAGATCCATGGGTATTCTCACAAGCCGCCCCATTGGCACATTGACTATCCTGGCATTCATCAACATCTATATATCAAGAATGAATATCCTGTGATTAGGTTTTGTTTCTTAATGGAACGTATGATAAGTTTAAACGTTAAAAACCCTGTTCCTCGAATCCTATTTCAACTGGGGTTTACCATAACTTAATGAAGTATTTATTTTCTAGGAAAACCATCTATTACATTTTGTACTACCTTCGCATGGAGTCCCTGCAAATCCTGGGGAACAGTCACACCCATAAGAGCCATTGTAGTTAAAGCAGGTGCCCCCGTTACCACAGTCAGTCAGTAAACATTCGTCTACATCTTGAATAATAAGAAGGAAGGCTATGTAAATTCAATAACAAAGAATATTTAACTTGTTTTATAAGGATGGGACTTCATGACTTCACTCACCTGTTTCGCAGTATTGTCCTGTCCACCCTACCATACATTCACACGTAAAGGATCCGTTCAAGTTAACACAGCTACTACCTTCGGGACAAGGCGACATCAGACACTCATCTACATCTAAACAACAACAATAAAAAACAACTTTTTTCAGGTTTAAGATACAAATATGTATCATACGCAGAATATTGTAAACAACCATTTTCAGTCTATTTAAATAATATCTTTTACTTTTTTTCTTGTTAATGAATAAAAAAAAAATGAGATTCCGTAAATAGAAGTGTTAGCATGTATGCTCGATGTCTCGATCAGGACTGTACTTTCAAAATATATCCAGGTGTTTAAGACATCAAACTTGAATTTCGATTAAATGATTAATTCGGCATGATGACTGTTTTAACATATCCCGTACATGTGTATATTTGACATGTTAGTGATCGATATATCAAAATTAAACTTCAAAAACAAGATTCTACCTTGGTCACACAATTTCCCAGTCCAGCCATTGGTACATTCACATGTAAATGCCCCAGCTGTGTTGTTACATACCCCTCCATTACTACAAAGTTCAGAATCGCTTAGGCACTCGTCTTCGTCTGGAAAAAATTATTTAATTTCAATACGAGCGGTTAAATTTGGACATACAAAATAAGAAAAGAAGTGGATTTGTATAACACATGAAGTGAACAATGATGGTTAGGTGTATTTGCTGTAGATAAGTGCCTAACAAAGACAAGTATAAGAAAATGTAGTCAATGGACCTTCTGTGCAGTTTTTGCCTGTCCATCCTGGAGGACATTTACAGGTATATGAACCTTCCGTGTTGAAGCAAGGAACACCCTCCCCACATGGGGAGTTCGAACATTCGTCCACGTCTGAAGAACGAAAATAAGGAGAAATACGAATGAATGAGTTCTAATGAAATACCAAATTTTTCTTATTTTTTAAGATGAAAAATAGATTTCTATAACAATTTTTCTTGGATAAATTTTAGTTTTATTCGAAATAAATTCAATTTTGAAATATGATTCTTTTATGTGAGAAATAAAATAAAAATGATGTCTTGCCATCTGTGCAGTTTCCTCCAGTCCATCCTGGTACACACACGCACTGAAAGGAACCATTTGTATTTTTACAGAGACCCCCATTGGCACAGGGTTGCTGGTTTTGACACTCGTCAACATCTATTACAAATTAAAGTTGCAAATTATAGTCAAATAAATAAATATTTCATAATATGAAATATATGGAGATAACGAACAGTATTCAAGCTCAAAAGTCCATTAATCAATACAAAATAGGAGCAGAGCAAACACGGACCTCCAAACATCAGAGGTGGGATCAGGTGCCATGGAGGAGTGAGCATCCCCTGCCGACCGGTCACACCCGCCGTGTGCTCCTTGTCATGATCGGGAAATAACGGAAAAATCCGTCGACAATTCAGTGTGTAAATAATGGCCTAACAATATCAATTAGATATAATAATAAAAATAGACCTTTTGATATGTTACTGACCTTGGTCGCAATCTTTTCCTTCCCATCCTCCCTTACATAAACATGTGTAGGATCCTTCAGTATTTTCACAAAACGATCCGTGCTGACAAGGGGAAGATAGACATTCATCTTCATCTACAATAACATCTATTTTACTTCACAGGTAAAACTGCAACATACTGTTTACAGTGTAAAGGGAGCAAAAATTTTCAAGTATGACACTCTCTTTAAATGTTGAAATATAACATTGTGTAACATGTATGACCTTCTCTTTAAATGTTGAGTTATCACATGTGTGTCCCTCTCTCTTAATGTTGAGTTATAACATGTGTGACCTTCTCTTTAAGGACATACGCAACGTACCTTACCTACTGATAATTTTTCAAGATATTCTTAATTTAAGATTATATTGCCATCAGATGTTCGTAGACAAAAAATCAGCATGTATTACCAGGGGTTTTGAAAAGATGTAAATTGATGAAAATTCTTGTATAATTCAAAGAAAAATAAACAAAAATTTCTAAACATATATTCTAGATGTTTTATTTATCCAGACTTGTTTTAGAAGAAGTGTACAACAGCATATATAAACAATAAAATGTATCACACAGTTCCTTCAAGTATTGGAACTCTTCAACTCCAGGGAAAAAGACAATAAAGTTCAACCTACGCTGCGTATGTCCTTAAATGTTGAGTTATAACATGTGTGACCTTCTCTTTAAATGTTGAGTTATAACATGCGTGACCTTCTCTTTAAATTTTGAGTTACAACATGTATGTCCCTCTCTCTTAATGTTGAGCTATAACATGTGTGACCTTCTCTTTAAATGTTGAGTTATAACATGCGTGACCTTCTCTTTAAATGTTGAGTTATAACATGTGTGACCCTCTCTTTAAATGTTCAGTTATAATATTTGTGACCTTCTCTTTAAATGTTCAGTTATAACATGTGTGAGCATCTCTTTAAATGTTGGGTTATAACATGTGTGACCCTCTCTTTAAATGTTCAGTTATAACATGTTACCTTTAAGACAGGTGTTCCCAGCCCAGCCTTTATTACAGGAACAATAGAAGGACCCAGCACTGTTCTCACATATTCCATTACTACCACATGGGGATGAAAGGCATTCATCGACATCTGAAATAAGAAATCTTCCATTTTATGCATAATTACGTTTTACGTTTGTTTATAGCGGATCCCTACCATTTTGGAGAGAATTATATGTGGACTCCGGACCGTGAATTTAGAAGAAGAAACACCCCTTTGATGTTCATATTATCATATCCTTATTGTCCAAAGAATATTTCACTTTTACTTTAACGAAAAATATCGCTGAGGACTTCTGTTTATATATGTTTCCGTCTTCTAGCAATTTAACAACGTATTATTGTTCTTAAATGTAGCCAGTAATTAAAATTATGCCATGGCATTTTTACAACTGATACATTATTATCTTCTCATATCAAATATTCATTAATTTTGATTTACTCTTATTTCCATAATTTCTTAGGATAACCATAATATACTAATAGAAGTAATGTGCCTTTTGCAATAAGTATCCGTCAATTATGCCCCTTACCCGTTGTTCCACATTTGAATACTTTTCAAAACATTTGAATATTCTCTGAAATCATTTAGTCTATTTCACAGTTCTAATATAGAGTATATCTAAGTTTATCTGTAAATGTAGCATGCAATAGTTAAACTTCTTATGACCAAAGATAAGAGCACAACTTCAGGGGTCCTGAATCAACACGTTGCCGTTGGACCCTTGACAAAGAACAAGGTACGGTTTCAATACAAATCTTGCCCTGTGTTTTTCTTAAAAATGAAAGTGATGTAAAAAAAAAAAAAAATTAAAATTTATGCTTTCTGGATCATTGAAATTCCATGTAGAAAGAACATACAAATCATTTTTCACACATGACCGTCTAAATGCTAATTGTGACGTCATGAACTTTTGCATTTTCCCGTATCATCCTTGTATCATCAACAATTTGCCAATAGCCTATCTCGTTTTAGTTCGTACATAGAACATGCTATTGCGATGCATAAACTCCATATATGCAGGTGAAATGGGATATTGCTACATAAACAAGGGAATTTTATGAAATCAAATAGTTTTTTTTAACAAAATAAACTTGCAGATGACCAATGACAAGGTATGCAAATTTCCGAGATCTATTTTTATTGAAGAAACAGATGGCAATGATGTCAAAAAGTCCAATCTTAAATTCATCGTGAGATGGTTGTATAAAGTGGTGAAAAGTCGTACGATCTTGTTTCAATGTTAATATTTCGCAAATTCTATCGTCAATACAAAGAACTTTTTAGTTGTACTTAGGTCGAATGCTGACAGACAATTTAAAGAAATTGCTAGGGGATTTCTTTCATATTGATTTGCCTACAGATCACTCGATTTAACTGAACAATACAAAGGACTCACTGCAGTGACCGGTCGACAGGAAATGCTTACTCCTCCATGGCATCTGATCCCATCTCTGATGTTTCTAGGTGTCTATGTTTGATATTCTCTCTATTTGTAATGTCTATGTGGAGTTTGAGCTTTATTTATGTTCCTTATGTTCATATTTAATTTTGGATTATTTTTATACTAGTGTTCTTATGTCAAGTTCTTACTATCAAAAATATTACTAAATAACAATATCATTGAGTGCAATATGGCAATTCATATGAAGTGTTGTAAAATAAATCCCAACAACAATTTATTTGAAGAAATTTAAAGAATTCTAGGTGTTATTTGGGAGAACTTTAAGATTTCTTACAATCGTTTAATGAGTAAATATATGTTTTAACTTTTAATGGAAACACAGGAAGCAAAGATAAGATATATGTAGATAATTCAACAAGTGTATATTTTTCCACTTTGTAAAACCATGATGACTAGCATGTGTCTTGGTGTGTTGTTTATTGCTACCTGTATATGTGGTTTATGGTAATTAGGTGTTTACATAGGGAACAGAATTATGGTATGAAATCTCCCACAATTATAATTGTCACTGGCTGAGGTAAAGCTAGATATTAATGATAGAAAAGAGGCCATCTCTACTTACCCGTGGTGCAGTTTTTTCCTTCCCACCCTTTGTCACATTCACACGTGTAGGAACCTTCATTATTTACACATTTACTGCCTTCTTTACATGGATTAGAAACACATTCATTCAAATCTGTATTCAAAAACAACCATGAAATATTTGTAATATGCATAAAAAAAAAAAAAAAAAAAAAAAAAAAAAAAAAAAGAACAATGGCATTTAGTATTCACTTGGGTGAATATGTTTGCTTATATGTTTTCAGTCAAGCAAAGAATTTTCAAACATTTTATCCATAACTTAAAAACAAATGAATGGCTTTCCTTATCTTTAGAACTTACCTTCTTCACAGGTTGTGGAGGTCCACCCCTGTTGACACTCACAGGTAAAAGAGCCCTGCGTGTTTGTACAAACTCCATTATTCTGGCATGGACTGCTCTCACATTCATCTAAATCTATAAGATTATCATAAATAAAATGAAAACATCATACAAAATAATAATCCTGGGATTCTTTGGCTTAAGATGAATTGCTCCTCTGGAAGAGAGATCATCAGTAAGTTGTAAGTTGTGTAAAATTTCTGTGGCCTTTTATTGATTTTTTTTTTCTCAAATTGCTCATGTAAATAACTCAAAATGTTCTGTAAATTTAATTTTCATCTCCGTCTGTTTGAAAATTGTCCATGATTAAAGAAAATCCTTTTTTTAAAAATTATTTTGCAGAGGTCGATTTATATATAATTGTTTGAAGAGTTTTTAATCAGGATGTTGTCTATTCCTTTATCCACTAATTTAAAATTGCTTCTTACCCTGAGTACAGTCGAACCCCGTGAATCCGCTGGGACATTCACACCTGTACGACCCCAGAGTGTTGGTACAGGGTCGTCCATTACAAGGATTCCTTCGACATTCGTCCAAATCTGTAAATGTCATAAGATGATATGCACATGTATAAGGATAACAGAGAAATGTTATTTATTATTTTATTCTATATAGTTTTAAATGAATTGCAAAAGGCTTTATTTTCTTGATTTCAAAACTTTACTCCGTTTTATCTAAATGTAAGAATTTTAATTTTTTAGTATATAACAAGGCCAAATAAGATCTTTGGTGAGTCTTATTCTCAATATCAAATTGTCAGGATTAAATAACAGTTTTTGGTGTTCCATATTTTTTGAGCTTTGATACCTCTTTCACAATGTTGTCCTGACCACCCATCTGTACAAACACAGGAGTAGGACATTTCGTCACTGACACAAGTTCCGCCATTTTGACAGGGATCCTCCATTAGACAGTTGTCAACTTCTGTGTGTAAAAAAAAATTATAAATTGTCATCCGGATACGATAGTTGAAAACAACATCACAATTGGTTACGTGCTACTTTCAATAGCACAACAACTTCTATAGTTTTTTTAAGCTGTTGATTTTTGTAAAATCAAGCATTTTAATTTACCTGGTCATTCTATTTTGTCATTGAAAGTTAGAATTCTAGAAAAGATTTGCCACCACACAAACAGTCCATCACTGAGTACACCTTTCCGTAGACAACGAGAAGAATTTTGGATAAGAAAACTAGGGACAGCCTTTCCCTATGGATGTAATGACAATGTCGATAGTGTTGGAAATCTTTCGAGTCAACAGTGTAACAATGTAAATGTGATGGGACTTTTTAACCATAAACAGAGAGGTAAGCGTAGTCATGGGCATCGGTCTTACAGTAACCCTTTAATACACGATGTCTCTTTTGATTCATTACTACCTTACGTAAATCAACAGTTAGGTCTACATCATATCCGCACAAAACTTTACTTTGTCCCTTTGAAACTTTTACATACTCTTCTTGAAAAGGTCAAGGAAAGTCCATTTTTTGATTCCTCGACACCAGAATATAGGCTCGGATCTGTGATTATGGATATTGCAAATCATAGGCTTTTTAAACCCCTACGTTTTACTGAAGAAAATGCAGCTAAAACAATCCGTTTTTTCCTTAAATTTCAATATGCCAACAAAGGAATTGTAGCGGTTAATATAAGTAATATTCTTAATCACAAAAGGGTCCAGTCTCGTATTCCACCATATTTCAAGTTAAAGACTACATCTTGTATTTCCTACAAATATACATCGACTATTGCTTCCAAACTTTTTAATTACAAGAAAACTTTAAAGGGTCTGGATATCGAATATGAAATATATAGAGATAACGAACAGTATTCAAGCTCAAAAGTCCATTATACAATACAAAATAGGAGCAGAGCAAACACGGACCTCCAAACATCAGAGGTGGGATCAGGTGCCATGGAGGAGTGAGCATCCCCTGCCGACCGGTCACACCCGCCGTGTGCTCCTTGTCATGATCGGGAAATAACGGAAAAATCCGTCGACAATTCAGTGTGTAAATAATGGCCTAACAATTAGTATGAAAAACGTCAGTCAGCATTTGACTCAATGATAAATTGTATTTGCTGACAAGGTCATTGTATCGACCAAAGAACTTACGAAATGATGACTTCTGAAACATAATCCTCCATCGTGTTCTTGTTCTTCTTCACCCTATAACTATAGTCCTGCTGGACACGTTATTACTGGTGACGTAAATATAGTTAATAATGAGGACCTTAGATCACTAATTTTAAAAGGTCCTGAAAATACGGAACCCCGGTCCTTCAACTGGCGTTGGAATTTCATAAATATTATGGATTCTGTAGAGGATTACGCCAGGCGATGGGCCAGACATGAAAAAGAAGACCTTGACACTTTCTCAGAATGGATTAAATGTATCAGATGTATATTAAAATCGCGCATTTTAAGATTGAGGGGCAATATGAGAGCCATCTATCCTTCTGTATTCAATAATCCAGAAATGAAAAAAAGAATTAGATAGATTACATGATCAGTACGTACTGGTCCCTGCTGACAAAGCATGATAACAACATTGTCTTTGTTTGTAAGGCTCAGTGTATTTAATGTATTTTAGAGGAACTTGGATTTAATTCTACGAGTGGTAATCCAACTTATACTCATAGTTCCCTTTCTAAGGAAGACATTCTTCAAAATCATATGTCAGTTTTGAATATTTTTAATATTCCAAACAACCAAAATGAATTTGAATTACCATATCTATATTGGATTCCGAAACTTCATAAAAATCCTTACAAACAAAGATACATAGTGGGTTCCAGTAAATGTTCAACCAAGCCTCTTTCCTTACTCCTCACTAAGATATTAATAGTAGCGAAGGAGAAACTTCAAGAGTACTGTGCAACAATATATTCGAGAAGTGGTGTAAATCAGATGTGGATACTTAAAAATTCAAAGGAACTTTTGGAAAATTTAAAATTACAAGATTTTACCAAAATCAACAGCTTAAAAACTTACGACTTTCAACTTTATACACAAAAATTCCCCACGATAAATTAAAGTCCAGGCTTTTTGATATCATTGACAGCTGCTTTTTCAATAAAAATGGAACTCGTAAATTTACTTACCTTGTTATTGGTCATTTGCAAAATTATTTTCTTAAAAAACATTTTGATTGTACACACAAGTACTCTGAATTGACATTAAAAAGATGCTTGAGTTTCTGATTGACAATATCTATGTGGTTTTTGGATGCCAGGTCTTCCAACAATCTATTGGAATTCCCATGGGTACCAATTGCGCCCCGTTATTAGCAGACCTTTTTTGTATTCATATGAAGCAGAATTTGTCCAAAATCTTATACGTGAAAAGACGAAAACACTTGCTGTGGCCTTCAACTCGACATTTAGATATATCGACGACGCATTGTCAATTAACAATGGCTATTTCCATTCTTATGTCGATACGATATCTCGGTGAACTTGAGATAATAGAAACCACAGAGTCTGACACATCGGTTTCCTATTTGGATATTTTACTTGAAAAAGACGTTAATGGTAATCTAACAAAAAAGCTTTGTGATAAACGTGACGACTTTAACTTTCCAATCGTCAACTTCCCTTACTTAAACAACAATATACCTTCATCACCTGCATACGGGGTTTATATCTCTCAGTTGACTCGATACGCAAGAGTATGCTCTACGTATGTACAATTTCTAAAACTAGGTAAATTATTGACAAACAAGTTGATGAAACAGGAATATCAGCAGTCTCGTTTAATGTCATCATTTCGTAAGTTTTATGGTCGACACAATGACCTTGTCAGCAAATACAATTTATCATTGAATCAAACGCTGACTGGCGTTTTTCATACTAATTGTTAGGCCATTATTTACACACTGAATTGTTGACGGATTTTTCCGTTATTTTCCAATCATGACAAGGAACACACGGCGGGTGTGACCGTTCGGCAGGGGATGCTCACTCCTCCATGGTACCTGATCCCACCGCTGATGTTTTTGGAGATCCGTGTTTGCTCTGCTCCTATTTTGTTTTGTTTAATGGACTTTTGAGCTTGAATACTGTTCGTTATCTCCATATATTTCATGATATAAATGAACTTCAAATTCATTTTGGTAACTTAATTTCTATTTGTTTTTATATTCGATTTTATTCATATTTTTAAGCTATTTGTAAGAGTGTACAAAGTGATATGGTTTCAAGTTTGGTCCAACTGTGCTCTTTGTCATGATCGGGTTAAACGGAAAAATCCGTAGACAGTGGGTAAATAATGGCCTAACAATTAGTACGTAAAAAAAGCAGACTGCATTTGACTTAATGATAGATTATTGATTAATGATAGATACTGACAAGGTCATAGTATCGACCATAAAACTTGCAAAATTATAACTTCAATCGAGAATGTTGATATCCTTGTTTCATAAACTTGTCTGTCAATAGCTTGCCTCGTTTTAGAAATTGTTTATACGTAAAGCATTCTATTCGGTGTCGAATTAACTGGGAGATAAAAACCCCAGAGTAGGTGGTAAGGGTATATTGCTACATAAGTAAGGGAAGTTGATGATGGAAAAACTGAAGTCATCACGTTTATCATAAAGCTTGATTGTTAGGTTACCATTAAAGTTTTTTTCTAGGAAATTATCCAAATATGAAACAGATGTGTCAGACCCTGAGGTATCTTCGTTTTGTTTCAAGCTCAGTGGGATATATCGAGTCGAAATATGAATGGAAGTAACTATCATTAATTGATAACACGTGGTCCATCTATTTTAATGTCGAATTAAATGTCATAGCAAGTGTTTTCTTTTTCTCATGTAAAAGTTTTTGAATAAATTCTGCTTCATATGAATACAAAAATAGGTCTTCTAATATACGGATGCAATTGGTACCCCCTGGGAATTCCAACAGATTGTTGGAATACTTGATCTCCAAAAACTACATAGATATTGTCAATCAGAAACTCAAGCATCTTTTGATATCAACTTCAAAGTATTTGTGTGTACAATCAGTATGTTTTTTAACAAAATAATTTTGCAAATGACAAAAGGAAAGGTAAGAAAATTAACGAGTTCCATCTTTATTGAAAAAAAACAGCTGTATGTGCTCTCAAAAAGCCTGGATTTTATTTTATCGTGGGGAATGATTGTATAAAATCAATGTTATTGATTTTGTTAAAATTTTGTGATTTCAAATTTTCTAAAAGTTCCTTGGAGTTTTTAAGTATCCACATCTGATTTACACCACTTCTAAAATATACTGTTGTACAGCACTCCTGAAGTTTCTCCTTCACTGCTGTAGATATACGTATTAAAATTCATGAAAAAAAATTGTCTTTGGAAAATCAGTCTTCAATTTAAATGCAATATTTTTTTTTTCAAAATGAATCACAAAGTCAAAAATATGAAAAATTATAAACATTTTTACTTAAAAAATTCAAATGATCCTTTTTTTCTTTTTGTGAAAATGCTTTTAAAATGTATGCAAAAATATATGTAAATTGAGGAGAACAAATATTTATACTGCGTGTGGTAAAAAGATTAATAAGAAAGGTTTTTCATAACTTTGCTTATTCATCAGCACTAGTTACATAAATGGATGTGCTTAAAATAGAAAAGAAAAGGGAAACATCTGCATATTGTTTCTACGTATTAACCAGGGAATGTTTTCGTAAAAAAATATTTATGAGAAAAAATATATTATAATCATGTATGGAGATAACGAACAGTATTCAAGCTCAAAGTCCATTAAAACAATACAAATCGGGAGCAGAGCAAACACGAACCTCCAAAAACGTCAGAGGTGGGATCAGGTACCATGGAGGAGTGAGCATGAGTATTTTGATAGTAGCATTTGTTTCGCCGTTTTAGTAAACACACCATTATTTCATCACAGCCAGATTAGTTTCTAACTATATAAAAAAAATCCAGTATATCTTTCTCAAATTAACTAGAATGTTATCATGTGACCCGAATAAAATCTCTCTCACACTTTGCAGCAAAATACTAAAAGGAATTAAAGAAAAAGTTAATTTTGATTGTCATAAGCTAAGAGCACTTTTAAAAATGCATACATTTTTATGACTTAAATATCTTTATATAATGACAAACACCTAGCCTAATCTCCATTTTCACCAGAGCCAGATAGGTAATGCTTTCCTCGTTTAATTAAGGCAGTTCACCCACGCGTAATTCAATTTAAAGTAACGATGGGCGTATGCTACGTGAAACTTGAAAAGGAATGACACCTTCTTCAAACTACACAGAATTTCATTATTCGATATTATGTATTAGATAACATTTTTTTTAAAAAGTCCATAATTATCATCTTAATGAATTGAATGGTCAAATGAATTTGGAAATATCATCAAGTTGGCCTCAAAAAATGTATTTAAAAAATGAATGATCTAGATGTGTCATTTTCGTAAATTGCTAGTCTTTGTACATTTTATATGTGTATCAAACATGCTTTTAATTTTGCAAATATTACTGTACATGACACGTTCCTGTTCTGTTTTCTTGTTTGCCATGAATGATATTTACAAGAAACAAATATTTTAAATCATCAGATTGATACACAAAACCATCACATGGAAATTGAATTTACGAATAACGAATGAATGTCCACGTTTTTAGCAAATAAATTTATCATTAAATCAAATGCTGATTGACTTTTTTCATACTGATTGTTTAGCCATTATTTACACACTAAATTTTCTACGGATTTTTCCGTTATTTCCCGATCATGACAAGAAGCACACGGCGGGTGTGACCGGTCGGCAGGGGATGCTCTCTTCCGCATGGAACCTGATCCCACCTCTGATGTTTTTGGAGGTCCGTGTTTGCTCTGATCCTGGTTTGTATTGTTTGAATGGACTTTTAACTTGAATACTGTTCGTTATCTCCATATCTTTCAAATTAACTTCAACTACTCAGGATTCCACTTAAATAACTATAAACTAAATCATTTCAAATTAAAGTCAAATTTGTCTTTATTCATATTTATTACATTGAGGAAAACATTAGTGGCACATCGTAAAGAATGAAATAAGGCTTTAAGATAAATGTGGTGAATTTAAAATTCATTACCAGGAAGTCTGGATAGAGTTGACCCCGTGTCAGGTTCAAATAAATCCGCTGTCCCTCCCCAGTTGTAACGCGACAGGAACACGTCCCACCAGTTAGTAGCCCAGACGATTTCTACAGTGGTGACAGGTGGCTTGGGGGTTGTTGTCACCACCTTGGTGCCCTCGCTGACCAGTGGGGACGGGGATGTGTTCACGGTTCTTCTCATTCTTTCGCTCTCTAGTAGTGGGTCTGAAATAAAAAACAAGAGGCCCATGGGCCACAACGCTCACCTGAGTCAATATGGCCCTGCTGTTCTTCGTCAGCAGATTTCTTCTATATATTCATATGTAAAGCTTTGATCGCCTGTTCTAGGCATACCCTACCCCCAGGTGCCCTGTTTTGAATGAAATTCAATCTAAACTTTCTGAAGATGCCTCTATATTCATATAACTAATCATAGCTTTGCTATTCTTGAAGACGTCTGCCACCCTATCCTGAAGGGGGGGGGGGGGTCATGATTTGAACAAACTTGAATCTACACTATATGAGGATGCTTCCATATCAATTTGACTAATCATGGCTTTGTTGTTCTTGAGAAGAAGATTTTTAAAGATATTTCTTATATATGTTCTTTTGTAAAACTTCGATCCCCCATTATGTCCCCACCCTACTACTGGTGGATGCCTGGAACAAACTTGAATCTACAATACTCAGGGTTCTCCATGGGCTGTTTAACGTGGCGGCCCCGCCACAGTTAAATTCTTTAGCGCCACAGTTAAAAAATCAGCGCCATAGTTCCGCCACTGTTAAAATATTAGCGCCACAGTAAGATCGACGTCGTCAGTAAGATGAATATATAAATTTATGAACCAAGTGAACCTCCAAATTTTGTACGGTTTTCCAGTTTCAAATGCTAAACCATTAATTTATTCTCATTAGGGCCCATTGTTTGGCTTGCACAAGCAATTATCTTCTAAACCTCACTGGACACTTCAATGAAAAGAGACAAGCCATTTATCCACCCTTCACGATGATTGCAAATGGAACTTTTAATATGAATTAGTTCATGCTTTAATAGTTCTACAGATAATCACTTATCTAAAATTGCATTGGCACAGCATGTCAAAAATCGTATGTGTATTGTAATCATGTATTTTTGTAATGTTGAAAAACTTACGATAGATCCACCAATTGAAAATATTATTTTATAACTCTTAACTGCTTAAGTATTTCTTTTAATTTACAAGTTTTAAGATATTTCAGTCTTCAGACCGTTAATTGCAAATATATACGGATGTTAGCGTGATTGAGTGACTGACTTACATGTACCAGAATTTCCTCTGTCCTTTAATGAACACTGTATAACTTACCTTTTGTAAACTTCTTTTAAAAATGGATTTAAATGCTTAAAACTTGTTTTTCTGGTACTTTCATTTTCAAATTCTATAAGCTAATATTCATTTATTTGTAAGTTACGTATGTGTTCTTTTTTTTTTTGGGGGGGGGGGTCTTTTTCACAGTATGCATTTATTTTGGAAACATCCTAATTTTGTTTTACACTATGTTTAATCGATATCGATTAATTGCTTTTATTATTAAATTTATTAATTAATTTGCCAAATAATAAAGGTCCTTTGTAAATTAAACTATTGATTTATTGGGGTTGTATGTTGTTCAATTTATTTTGTGGTTTCTTCGCGAATAAGGTCGCGAAATGACCGCGAATATTAGCACTTCGCGCAGGTCTTGCGCCACAGTTAAATTTGAAATGATGGAGAACCCTGACACTTGGGGATGTTTCCATATCAATATGACTAATCATGGCTTTCCTGTTCTTGAAAAGATTTTTAAAGATTTTTCCAATATATATTCCTATGTAAAACTTTGATCCCCCATTGTGACCCCACCCTACCCCCGGGGGTCATAATTTGAACAAACTTGAATCTACACTACCTGAGGATGATTCCATATCAAAATAACTAATTGTGGCTTTGTTGTTGTTGAGAAGAAGATTTTTAAAGATTTTTTTTCTATATATTTCTATGTAAAAATTTGATCCCCCGTTGTGGCCTCACCCTACCCCCGGGGGTCATGATTTGAAAAAATTTGTATCTGCACTATGTAATATAGGTTACACATAAGTTTCGACTTTTCTGGCCCAAGGATTCTTGAGAAGAAGATTTTTGAAGGATGACACCAAATTTTCACGAATTCTTATTTATCTCCCCTTGGAAGAGGCCGTGGCACTTCATTTGAACAAACATGAACCCCCTTTGTCCAAGGATGCTTTATGGCAAGTTTGGTTGAAATTGGCTCAGTGGTTCTGGAGAAGAAGTTGAAAATGTGAAAAGTTTACAGACAGACGGACGGACAGACAGACAGACGGACTACAGACAAAATGTGATCAGAAAAGCTCACTTGAGCTTTCAGCTCAGGTGAGCTAAAAATGATATTCTTGAATGGGTTGTCAGAAAATTCATGGGAAAAACAGTACAAATAACATACAGTTTAGGTATTTACGGCACAGTTTTAACAAACTCTGAACTACGATAGTTTGAACATAAGACCCATTGTTCATGAAAAAATCTTAGATTTAATGCAAAATTTATAGGATCTGTAAGATGTTTAATTTCTGAAATCTCAAAAGTAACAAAAAAGTTATTCTTACAGACCTTTTTAGAAAGTTCGTGTTTATACCGTGTCACCGTGAAACAGATTGTGATCTAAGTCTATGATGGTTTATGATCTTGAAGAAAATGGTAATTACTTGATATCTGTGGTCCTGCTTCAGGGCTGTTTGTAATATGTATAGATGATATGGGTATTAAATTATTATTTATATCAATCAAGTCCTTTCCTTCCCGAGTGAGCTGTTTTGAATTTTGAAGAATGGTATTTAGAACTCCGTCTTCCGATTCGGCGATTTTCTGGCTTAAGTTTTCAATAGTTAATCTCACTTCCACCTTTCCAGCTGTAGTTTTCCTAGAAAAAATATTTCACATGTCATTAAATTCTGATGGGTAAGTTTGACAAAGAATGATAAGGGATAAAACTTATTGTAAGTAGTTATCTAAAGAAATAAACATTTTAAATGTTAAATTTTACTTGGGTTCCTGTTTAGTCAGAGTTGAGCTGTGGTCGCAGTTCTCAACGTTAAACAAAAGGGATTCGAACCAAAATCACTATTATGTAAGTACAGTGTATTTAAGTTTTTTTTTAATTTCTGTAAAATACACAAGGAATCCTTTATTGTGAAATTGAAGGGTGAGAAAAGGCATAAATAATTTTAACACTATTTTTTATGGACACAAACTTCCTAAATAATTTAAACAAGGACATATGAAGGTACTTTTGTCTGATATTGTTCTTTCTATAAAAAAAGTGTTTAAATGCCGACTAAGAGTATTTGGACTGTCGCTGCATTTTTCTTACATTTTTTGCCTAGTATTCTAATCGAAACTATATTATAAATTGTTACCTCTATCTAAACTCAAATTTCCCTGTTTTTTCTTTAAGTAGGATAGCATACACTATAAACTATAAGAGTATTTCCATTCATTGATTAACAAGCTATATATCAAGTGTCAGCTTCAGAAAAAAGTCTTATATTTCAAGATAAATAATGAATATACTTATAAAGTCGGTTCTTGACTTTTGCAAAATTGCAACACCAATCAGAATAACATTATGTTTCTTTTTTTCCCCCTCATTACATTCAATTATTTATATATTTCTAGATAAGGAACAAATATACTTATGACGTCATCTCTTGATTTTTACAAAATAGCAACAACAATAACAATAATATGCTTTTTGTTGTTTTTTTTTGTTTTTTTTATTTTGTAGATTTGAGTACATGTCGCTTACCTGAGATTATCTACATGGCAAGAATCTTCGTGATGTTTACGTTTTTTCAGAACTTCGGTGTTTGGAAAAAAGCCGCTGAACTGAAGAGGTTAGAATGATAAAAGATATGACATATTAAGTATTCAAAGTTTTTTTTTTTTTTTTTTTTTTTTTTTTTTGTTAGTTTTGTTTATTCATAAGAAAGCCACTACCTCAAGATGTAGTGACACATTTTCCAATGTTTAAGATGCTGTTACATTTATAATGAGCTCTATCTATATAGTTGTCTGAACAAATACGCAAAAATTTTATCTTCTCAATTTAATGCACTTTGAAAACTTTAGTGCTTAGAAATTGTTTTGAATCTTCTGAAATTTGGTAAAGGAAGCACAAAATTGTTGTCAGATGAGCCTGATATTTCATACCTCGACACAAAGTGTATCGGCGAGATCTTTGAATTCTCGAGACATATTTTCCTCCATTCCAGGTTTATAATCCACATTATCAATAATCAGAGTTATATATCTTCGTTGTGAATCTGTTCAAAATCAAGTGAATCCTAAATAATAATTAATACAAATGCATATTTATAATCAGATTATTGATAAACCATATTTTAAAAAAAACTATTTCTACAACCTTGTGAAGCTGCCATTGGAAATAGAGATGTAGTCAGTATTATCATAATGAACGCTGTGAGGGATACTTTATGTGTGGAAGCAGTGACTCTTCTTCTCTCAGTTAATGAACATTTGGCTCTGGGATTGATATCCATGGTTTGCTGTTCATTAAAGGAAGCTCCATTGATAAATTTTGAATTCGTACAATATATAGAGGAACAATCGACATATACGTGTGAGAGGGTATGTCACTATGATGGTGCGCCATCATCGATATAGAATTTTTTTATTCAAATAATTTTATTGTGTTGTTTGTAGAGCTAAGCTTTATAAAAAAAAAAACTTGCCATTCATCACTTTTACTTACATACAAAAGATTTTCTTTGAATATGAAAACTCTTATCTTTTTCATAGTTGTTATAATTTTCATTTTAAAAAATGTTTTCCTTTCTGAATATTTGCTGAAACTCCTTGTGATGTGAGTAATAATGCAAATTAGCTCAACTTTTAATTCATTTTTAATCTAGTTTTAATAAATATTACCTGTTTGTTTTTAGAATTTTTCGTCTGCTATTTTACATGTATTTTGTCAGTCATGTACTTGTGTGTGGAGTCTGTTTCTTATGTGAGTGTCGAGCAGATATTATTATGCTAATGAAATTTTCAACATTTGGTTTTTTGTTTCATTTCATCAAAAAATGACAGTAAGATATATTTTAGTAAAAAATATCATAATTGACCACTTTTATCACAACCTTAAAATTTTGGAATGTTTGTTTTACAAGAGAAAATTCTTCAAAATGTGATAATATTTGGAAAGAAATCCAGGGAAAGAAAGGAAAAAATATACATGTTTTCTTAAATAAGTGCTGAAAAAAAGTATTTCTATTTAGCCGATTTCAGAGACTGGATATTTATTTTGACAGAAAGTTGAATTATGTATACCATTATTACCTAAATGTTATTCAAACAATGAAGGTTAGGAAGTAAATACGTAAGTGTCATTTACAACTCTTTTCACTAACATTTCTTTTGAGAGTATTTCACGAATGACAAACTTCTTTTTCTTCCTTTTGAGATTATTAACATACATGTATTTCATATAACTTGAGATATTTTTATTTATTTAATGTTATTTCTACTTGAATAATACGCCTACTAATTGAAGCAGAAATTCAATCATTCAAATGATGCAAACAAAATTCTTTTCTTCGGAACAATAATTTAATTACCTTCAGTCGTTAAAAGAATCTTTCTTATTGAAGATATTTTTAATCTTGTTGTTTCTATTTTTTATTTAATTTACCATTTTTAATTTGTCTTAGACTCTGTATAGGAATTTGTAAGTGTTCCAATATACCAATAAAGAACTATTAATAGTATTCAATAGTTTGAAGTCATCATTTCGCATGTTTATGGTCGAAACAATGACCTTGTCAGCACATACAACCTATCATTGAGTCAAATGCTGACTGACGGTTTTCATACTAATTGTTAAGCCATTATTTATATACTGAACTGTCTACAGATTTTTCAGTTTTTTTTTTCGATCATGACAAGGAGCACATGGCGGGTGTTACCGGTCAGCAGGGAATGCTCACTCCTCCATGGCACCTGATCCCACCTTTAAATTTTGAGGTCCGTGTTTGCTCTGCTCCAAATTTGCATCGTTTTATTGGACCTCCAAGATTGAATACTGTTAATTATCTTCATGTTTCATTGACAAGTGATAAAAGTTTACTTTTTTGCGATAATGAACTGTGGACAAATATCAGATATGATTGGTCACATATATCTTCATCACTCAATCAAAAAATCAAAGCAGTTTGAAAAAAGAATTAATTTATACTCAGAGGTAAATGAATTCAGAACTTCCCCCATATTTTAGTTCCCTTCCTACCGTATTTGGTATTACAGTTTTTTAATGATGACATACCTTTGTACCGTATTTGGTATTATTTTTGATGATGACATACTTTAGTTCTGTTAAAGAATGGTACTTACTTTGCAACAATATCCTTGATTTTCTAGTGCGTTATTACCTTCCTTTCTGCGATGAATGGATTTCAAACTAAAACATACTTCTTTACAATTTTCGGTAAAGAACTCTGTTCTTTTAATACACTGTTTGCAGTCCCTTGGAACTCTGTTTTGATTTACTGGTAGGTTTGGATTTCTATGTTTATTTTCTAGACAGAGAGTACATGTTCCTTTGACAGATGAACATTTCCAAAGTAGACTATGTCCCTCATCAGTAAAGAGGCTCGTGGATTCTAGATCTTGTCTGTTGTCACATGTTCTGAACATTCCTTGTGAATTCTTCTCAAAAATCTTACATTTCTCATGCTTAAATGTGTTCACACACTTTTTAATTGTTTCATCCATATTTTTAATAAAGGGAAATTATTATCAAGATTGAAGTCCACAATGTATATTCAAATTCACTTGTTTTTCATTCGTGTGATCACTGTTTGTGTGCCCGCTGTCCTAGTCTTTCAAACTAAGAACAGCTATTACGTTTCTAAATTCCGTTTTTCGAAACACTTATACACTATGCATGTCTGCATATTTTAATGGCGTCGGATCTATAATGAAGAATTTCCTGGTAACAAATAAGTTCCTCTGAAAAATTGACACGAACTAACATTTAAATGAGTGCGTTTTATAAATCTTTATGATTATAAGATGGCTATTAGCGACAGAAGTATATGAAATGATGACAAGTCAACAATTGACGTAACGACCAAAGTCTTAATGGAAGCTTAGTGGTCTACACAAATTACCATAAATGTCCAAGTTAAAAAACACATGTAAAATAAATAAATATATCAGCCTCAATAATAAAAATTCTAGACCAAATTTGTCTCCATTGCAGAACCCTTATCAAATTGGAATTTTATAAAAACGTATAAATCATGGCTTTAATATTCAATTAGAGAAGTGGTTACAAACCATTCTTCCCCACGCCCGTGGTAAATTATGTAAATAAATTTTAGGGGCATCTTACATTAATGCCGACATTAAGCTCGCTCCCCGGAGTTATTTATGAAGTCATGCGTATGAAAATAATTGAGTTAAGTCTAATTGAGGAAGATTCAAAAAAGCATTTAATGATAAAATAGTTTATTACCAAGGTAAATAATTCTATTAAAGGTGAAAACCTTTCAATGATATTACTTAACTGTTATTATAAATGGGGCTTCTGTCTGTATTGATGTGACTGGATAGAAGATATACATATTTTCGTAAAAATAACGCAGGTTCCTTCAACGATACATGCCCAACACTAGGAAAAAGAAACATAGCATTTAGATATTTCTGCGTGGCACGTTGTTTTTTATTGTAGTTTTTTGTCTCCGCTTTTATTGAAAACGGGGATGTCAGTTTGGATGTGTCCAAATGTCTGTCTGTTATTTCTGGCTGTGTGAAACACTTAAAAGTTTCTGCACAGTTTCTCTTAAGATCTTTTAGCTTTTGCATAAGGACATAAATTCTCTGAATCAGCTTTAGTACCATTGAATTTTATTCATGTGAAGTCAAAATTAGAGAATAGATTAAAACACTTAAGATCGATATCTCTTTTTGAAACCCGATAAACATTCTACTCTATAAATATTTTGACTTATGAATTATTTTTAAAAACAACTAAGTCTTGCAGAAAGCTAGATTTAACTTTTGGAGAATATTAAAATTTTCTAGAGCAATGGCACGCATTCTTCTGGTTTTTTTTAAGGATGGTAGTTTTGATTTATTTTGATTAACTTTCATATGAGCTTTTATAATCTTCATAAATAAATTTAAATGTTCTTTCGTGATTTTTTTTTCAATTTTGCTAGTATTCTGTTTAGTAGAGAAGTGCCATGTAAATTAAAAATAGCTGTAATTTAACATTATTAATGGGTGATGTATCGTAAGTCTGCCTATTTAGTAAAATGCTTGTATGGACATTTAATTGCCCTTCTGCTTTATTTTATTTATTTATTTATTTATTTTTTTTTTTACAGATATTTGTATCAAAAGGTAGCATAAATTCAATTGTAATGCTTAATAGTTTAACCTCTTTATCACAGAACATTTTAATTCCATCTTAATCAAATAATCAATGTTTTTGTTTAGTGTTTTGTTGTCAATAGGGATAGTCTGGAACTGCTGGTAAGCCTGCATTTTGTTTGATGAAAACCATCTAGTCAGAGACCCACTGACATCTTGCAGAGCATTTATAACCTGTGTTAAAGATTTTTAGGATTTTGATAAAGTTTTATCATCTTCACAATTGTAGAGAATATATTTATCTACAAAGAAGAACAGGTCATTCGTTAATATGTTAAAAGTATGGGACCCAGAATAGATCTTATATGAACACCTTTAATGATGTTTAGTTGTCACTAATATGCTGTCATATTTTATTTTATAATATCAGCCGTCGTCAAGCAATGTTGACTGTACCTAAGTTCTATCATACTGCAGGGTGTGGTTTCATCATCCAGAGGGTACCAACTTTTTCCTTAAACAAATGTTTCTCGACGAAACAAATGCAAATAATTTACATTTATTGAACTGGGGCACTGTCTGTTTTTTAGCCTATTCTGGAATAGTGTGTCCGTCACCTGATCAACAATGTCATGTGACACTATAAAAACACATAAAATTCTTCACAAATGGGCCACATTTACATACATAGTTAACAAAATCAAAACCTAGCTTGGTGAATCCAGGGCTCCCCAACTTTGGCGCCATCCGTCGAATCTTATATATTCCTGGGGTAATAAAAAAAAAAGAAAATATATATATAAATTTTTAAAAAAATAGTTTGAAATGATATGGTATCTTTTAAATCCATTTTTAGGTCAGACGACATGTTCCTCAAATATCTGTTTTGCATTTTGCATCTCTTAGTAATAGATTAGAAAATATTAAAAATTATCATCATCATGTGATTTCTTAACTGTTTTTCAAAAGTCTTGGAGAGAAAAACCGCCAAAAAGTATGATATTGGAAATTCTCGTGATTTCCATTAGAATAATATAGCAAACACTGTCCTCTGGTATCTTGCACAAAGGCCGCGTAAGGTACTTCAATTTTTTGTGAGTAAAGTTGTTAAAGTAGCAAAAGTTAAAAAAAAAGAATTGGATTACACGATAAATATGTACTGATCCCAGCTGACAAAGCAGGTAACAACATTGTTTACAAGGCTCATTATTTTAATTGTATTTTAGAGGAACTTGGATTAATTCTGCAAGTGGTAATCCAACTTATAGTCTCCTTTCTAAGGAGGAAATTCTTCAAAATCACATGTCAGTTTTAATTTTTAACATTCCCAATTATCGATATATAATCCAGTGAGCTTGAAATAAAAGATACCATAGAGTCTTATACATCTGTTTCATATTTGGAATTTTTATTAGAAAAAGATGATAATGGTAATCTAACAACTAAGCTTTAAGAAAAACGTGATGACTTCAATATTTCAATCATCAACTTCCCTTAGTTGTGCAGCATTATACCCTTATCACCTGCACATGGGGTGTATATCTCTCGAGTCAACTCAGAGTCTGAGTTGATTCGATGTGCAAGAGCATGCTCTACGTATGAACAATTTCTAAAACGAAGTAAGTTATTGACAAACAAGTTGATGAAACAAGAATATCAACAGTCTCGTTTAAAGTCATCATCTTGTTCTATGGTTGATATAATGACCTTGTCAGCAAATACAATCTATCATTAAGTCATATGTTGACTGACGTTTATCATACTCATTGTTAGGCCATTATTTACACACTGAATTGTTGACGGATTTTTTCGTTATTTCCCGACCATGACAAGGAGCATACGGCGGGTGTGACCGGTCGGCAGGGGATGCTCACTCCTACATGACACCTGATCCCACCTCTGATTTTTTTGGAGGTCTGTGTTTGCTCTGCTCCCGATTTGTATCGCTTAAATGGACTTTGAGCTTGAATACTGTTCGTTATCTCCATATTTCATCGAGTCGACATACGAATGAAAATAACTATTGTTCATTGATAAAATATCGTCGATATATCTGAATGTCAAATTGAAGGCCACATCTTGTGTTTTCCTCTTCTACTGTAGAAGTTTTTGAATAAATTCTGCTTCATAGGATTATAAAAACAGGTCAGCTAATAAATGACCACAATTAGTGCACATAGGAATTCCAACAGTTTGTTGGAAAACTTGGTCTCCGAAGACTATATGAATATTGTCAATGAGGAACTCCAGCATCCATTTCATCTCAACTTCAGAGTACTTGTGTGTACAATCAGAGTGATTTTTAACGAAGTAATTTTGCTGATGACCAATCACAAGATGTGAAAATTTCTAAGATCTGTTTTTATTTCAAAAGAAGTTGTCTATGATATCAAAAAGTCTAGATTTTAATTTATCGTGAGGAATTGTTATATATAAAGTGTAGAAAAGTCGTAAGTTTTGATGTTAAAGACTTTTGAAAAATTTGGTTATTTTAAAGTTTCGAAAAGTTCTTTCGAGTTTTGGATACACATCTGATTTACACCACTTCTAGAATAAGCTGTAGCACTGTAGTCTGAAATTTCTCCTTTACAGCAGTTAATATTTTTGTAAGGAGTAAAGATAAGGGCTTGTTAGAGCATTTGCTGGACCCAGCAATGTATCTTTGTTTGTAAGGATTTTTATGAAGTTTAGGAATCCAGTACAGATAGGGTAGATCGAACTCACCTTGGTTGACTGGTATATTAAAAGTATTAAACACTGAAATATGATTTTGAAAAATTTCTTCTTTGGAAAAGTAAACTGTGAGTATATGTAGCATTTCCAGACGTGGAATTAAAACCAAGTTCTTCCAAAATACAATTATAATACTGAGCCTTATAAACAAAGACGATATTGTTACCAGTCATGTCTGCTGGAACCATAACATATTTTTTGTGTGGTCGCTCTAGTTCTTTCATCACTTTCGGTTTAGTAAAAACGGAAGGGTAGATGGTTCACATTTTGCCTTTTAATTTTCTAATACGAATCTTTAGTATATTTCTTAAACACTTAATCCATTCTGAAAAAGTGTTCAGGTCTTCCTTTTCATATTAAATCCAACGTTTGGCATAATCTTCGACAGAATTCATAATGGAAATGAAGTTCTGTCGCTAATTGAAAGATCGGGGTCCCCTGTATTGAGGATCGTTTACATTGACTGCTTTAAGGTCTTCATTTTTAACTATATTAAAATCACCAGTAATTACGTGTCCAGCGGGGCTGTAGTTGAAAGACGAAAAAGAGTCAGAACGCTTAAGAGAATTTTGTTTTAGATGTTCAATTTCTAGGCACTGTAGGGTTTGTTTATAATTGAAAAGTTTGAACGCAACAGTTTGTGAATATCTGTAGGAAATGCAGGGTGTAGACTTCAACTTGAAATATGGTGGAATGCAAGACTAAACATTTTATGATTTAGAATATTACTAATGTTCATAGCATATGTTCATATTCCTTTGTTTGCAAAGTTAATCTTAAGGAACCGACGGGTTGGGTCAGAATTATCCTCCGACACACTTGGTGGTTGCTGGGCAACATCCATAATCACAAAAACTAGCTTGCATTCTGCGTTGAAGAATCTACGTATGAACTTGCTTTGGCTTCTTCAGCTAGCCCATTTAAAATTTTTAAGGAAACAGAATAAAGTTTAGTGCGAATGTGATGAAGACCTAATTGTTTATTGACGTGAGGC